GTCACCTTAACACGCGAAGAACCCCAGACACAGGGCCTGGTGCAAGGTAGGTGCGTGGAAAGCATATGCTTTCAAAGTCCTGTTCAAAAGGATGAAGTTCAAATAAAGACATCTTCAGGCAAAAACAGTGTTCCCCAACAGTTACGGTGAAAGATGGTAATGCCCCTTCCTCAGTTACTGGTAGAAGATTCAAATAAAAATAAATCCCGTCTCAATTTAGATCTGTGCTGTCCAGTACAACAGCCACAAACCACATGTGGCTATGAAATATCAGTTTGAATTAAAGACTTGGTTTCTCAGTTAGCTAGTTAAGGACTCAATAACCACACGTGGCTGGTGCTACCACGCCGGACAGCCCAGAGAACACGTCCACTGTCACAGAAAGTGCTATTGAAAAGTCTGATTTTAAAAAAAATATATTTGAACAGAATTGACAATTTTGACCAGTAGACACATACAGAACACTGCACCCAATACCTGCAGAATACATGTTCTCATCAAGCGCATATGGAACACTTATAAGCATTTACATACCCAAAGCCATAGAGCAAATCTTAATATATTTACAAAATTGAAATGATATAGAATGTTCTCTCTAACCACAGTGTAAATACGCTTGATTCAACAAAAAATAACTTTAGAAAATCTCTTCCAGTTTTGAAATTTAAAAACCTTTCTAAATAACCCCATGAGTCAAAACCAAAACATAGGGTTGCACAAAAATGTGAAGGTGTTTCAGACCCGTGAGCCAGGCGCTTTACCATGGCGCAGTGGTCAACGTGGTGTTATGTGCCACAGTTAAAAACATGTTTTTAAGTAGTGGTGAAGGAGAAGGCGATTCCTTTCCTAACACTGATCTTACTGGAAATGTTTCTAAAGTACCCTCACTTAGTATAACTTTGCTAAGGTTTTTGGTATCTAGTTTTTCTGAAGATAAATATGTTTCCTTATGTATGTACGATACACGAATGTGAAACTTTACTCATTTTTTTCTGACTGTTTTTAAAAATCATAATGAAAATTAGAAAAATGTGTTTAACTGAATGAAACTACTATATGACAAAACTAAGACAGTAAATCAGAGGGAAACGTGCAGCCTTAAGAATGGCATGGAAAAAATTCAGCAATCAGCATCCATCTCAGAGTCAGAAAAGAACAAAATGAGCCCCAAGAAAGTCAAAGAAAAGAAATAAAGACCATGAACCGACAAAAGCATGCAACGAAGAGAGTCCACACAGCCCAGAGTTGGTCTGGGAAAGAACTAAACGAATTCACTCAAGCAAAAGTACAGCAAAAGAGGGGACTCTGGTTGAATACGCACTGAAAACCTGTGCTCACGTCCCTTCCTCCCCAAACCTTCTACAGTGAAGGAAAAAGGTGTAAGCCCCACAGGAGGTGACGGCGACGGGCAGAGGTGTCCACAGAGTCTGGGAGAGGCAGGGCCGGCCCGTGGCTTACTCGGGAGAGTGCGGTGCTGATGACACCAATGCCACAGGTTCAGATCCCTGTATAGGGATGGCTCGTGTCTCACTCGGGAGAGTGTGGTGCTGACAACACCAAGTCAAGGGTTCGGATCCCTATATAGGGATGGCTCGTGTCTCACTCGGGAGAGTGTGGTGCTGACGACACCAAGTCAAGGGTTCGGATCCCTATATAGGGATGGCTCGTGTCTCACTCGGGAGAGTGTGGTGCTGATGACACCAAGGCCACGGGTTCAGATCCCTATATAGGTATGGCTCGTGTCTCACTCGGGAGAGTGTGGTGCTGACAACACCAAGTCAAGCGTTCGGATCCCTATATAGGGATGGCCTATGGCTCACTTGGGAGAGTGTCGTGCTGATGACACCAAGGCCACGGGTTCAGATCCCTGTATAGGGATGGCTCGTGGCTCACTCGGGAGAGCGCGGTGCTGACGACACCAAGTCAAGGGTTAAGATCCCCTTACCGGTCATCTTTAAAAAAAAAAAAAGAATCTGGGAGAGGAGAGGACAAGGAGGTGAGTCCGGCTGCGGCAGGGAAAGGCTGGGACGGGGCTGCACCGG